AAATGTTCATTATGCAGGTACTCTTATATGTGTGCCCCCACTTCCCCAGGCAGATTCCCACTACTGCCAATTCCACTTCCCCATCACCCTCCTGGCAGTTTCCTGCTACTGCCAATCCTTTTCTTATAGTATTACGATAATTGTTCAAGGTCTGCTTATGAGTGAAAACATGTGACACTCACTTCTTTGTTTCTGTGAAATATCACTCAGTATTATAGACTGTAATTTCATCCAGGTTGCTGTGAAGTATGATTTTGTTCTTGTTTATGGCTGCTTAATATTCCATCATATATATGTACCACATTTAAAAAAATCTAGTCCTCTTTTGATGGACAGCATGGTTGGTTCCATGTTCTTGCACTGTGAACAATGCTGCAATAAACATATGTGTACAGGTATCCTTTTTATAGAGTGATTTGAGTTCTTCCGGGTATATTCCCAGTAGGGGTCATATAGAAGGTCGATTTTTAGATCTTTTAGGAATTGCCACACTGTTTTCCACAGAGGATGTACTAGTTTACACTCCCACCAACAGTGTAGAAGCATTCCCTTTCGCCACATCCTCTCCAGCATCTATTGTTTTTTGAGTTATTTATGACAGCCATCCTGACTGGAGTTAGGTGGTATCTCAGTGTAGTTTTAATTTGCATTTCTTTGATGACTAGTGAGGCTGAGCATTTTTTCATGTATCTGTTGGCTGCTCCTGTGTCTTCTTTTGAGAACTGTCTATTCATATCTTTTGCCCACTTTGTAATGGGGCTGTTTGTTTTTTTCTTTTCAGCACGTTTGGGTTCCTTGTAGATCCTGTAAGTTAGGCCTTTGAGCTGACAAACCTTTATAAGAAACTTTCCCTATTTCAACTACTGTATGGTTTCCCTCTCAAGATTCGACAATGATCAATATCACCAGAGGTTCTTAATCAGTAGTTTATGTCATTTCAGTTTAAAAAACTTCTGATAAGCTGGGGTCTGTGGCTCAGCCTGTAATCTCACGCCTTTGGGAGGCTGAGGTGAGTGGATTGCCTGAGTTCGCGGGTTCGAGACCCGCCT